ATCGGGAGGTGGAGGTGGAGGTTGCAGTGAGCTGAGATTATGCCACTGCACTCCAGCCTGGGGGACAGGGTGAGACATCGTCTCAAAAAACAACAGCAAGAAAGAACTACCCAAGCAGTTGCACAGTCTCCGCTTTGTCCGTGGAGTTATCCTGCAGGCAAGTCGTGCTCTTTTCACCAAGTGGTGTTTTATGTGTCCTTTTTTTTTTTAAGTCTCGCTCTGTTGCCCAGGCTGGAGTGCAATGGCATGATCTTGGCTCACTGCAGCCTCTGCCTCCCAGGTTAAAGCGATTCTCCTGCCTCAGCCACCTGAGTACCTGGGATTGCAGGCACGTGCCACCACACCTGGCTAATTTTTGTATTTTCAGTAGAGACAGGGTTTTGCCTTGTTGGCCAGGCTGGTCTCAAACTCCTGACCTCATGATCCACCTGCCTTGGCCTCCCAAAGTCCTGGGATTACAGGCGTGAGCCGCTGCACCCAGCCATTTTGTGTTCTTCATTCAGACATATGGTAGCCATGTCCGCGAGTGTTATAAGGGGGTGACTGCTGGTGCAGGTGTGTTAGAGGCTGAGCTGACTGGCTTTTGTAAAATCTGGGGCCCGAGGATCTGCTCTAGAGATCTGTGCCTGCTGCCCTGTTGTGGCTTCCAGCTTGCCCTGAGCCTTATTGATCTTATCTCTTGCCTCGCAGAGTGAAGATGTCTGGCTGGAAGCAGCCAGGTTGCAGCCTGGGGACACAGCCAAGGCCGTGGTAGCCCAAGCTGTCCGTCATCTCCCACAGTCTGTCAGGATTTACATCAGAGCAGCAGAGCTGGAAACAGACATTCGCGCAAAGAAGCGGGTTCTTCGGAAAGGTGAGCCTCCCTCGGAGGTGCCTTCCATCGGCAGGGGCTCCTGGGGTCTCTGGCCCCTCCCTCGGAGGTGCCTTCCGCCGGCAGGGGCTCCTGGGGTCTCCGGCCCCTCTCTCGGAGGTGCCTTCCGCCGGCAGGGGCTCCTGGGGTCTCCGGCCCCTCCCTCGGAGGTGCTGCTGTCTCCCTCCTTGGGGCCCCTCCTCTCAGCAGCTTTCCTGCTCCTGGCTCAGGCTTTTGGTGAGAGTGGATAAGGAACCAGGGACATTTTTCAGGCCTTTTCTCAGGCTGGGTTGCCTCTGCCCTTGGACCCCCATGGGGGAGGGATACTGTGGTGGGCGAGTTCCCATCCCAGAAGGGATGTTGGGGTTGAGCCCTCACTCCTGCCTTTTTCCAGTGTGTGATTTTGGATGCATTGGGCAGTCACTCTGTGGTCCAGGCTTCCCTCATCTGCAGGGTGAGAACCATAGTAGCTCAAAGCCTGTGTCCTGGGGCTCTGGAGATGGTCTCTGTGAAGAGCGGAGCCGGCAGCTGGCATGTGCACACCCTTTGTGGGTGTTACTTTCTCTCCTGAGAAGGCACCGGAGCCCCACGTTGATTGGACTCCTCCCTGCTGCTGACGAGGCTGCGTCTCCTGCCCCCAAGGCAGCGTGTGCCGTCAGCTCAGGCCAGATGATGGCGGGCGGTGTCCCTGCCAGGGAACCTGACTCCATCCAGGGATTCCTGCCAGGATAGAGCTTTTGTGGGCAGTTTGTTGATTTTTCTTTCTGTGGTTTCTCTTGTCACTGGAAGTGTGTAGTAGATGCTGCTGTTGAACTGGGCCCAGAACAAGTGCTGGTCGGGGGCTGTTCTGAAGCCAATCTGTGCAGGTGGCTTCTTTTTTTTTGTTTTGTTTTTTGTGGTTGTGGTTGTTGTCTTTGGGATGGAATCTTGCTCTGTCGCCCAAGCTGGAGTGCAGTGGCGTGATCTCAGCTCACTGCAAGCTCCGCCTCCCAGGTTCACGCCATTCTCCTGTCTCAGCCTCCCCAGTAGCTGGGACTACAGGCGCC